CTGAACCGCGCCACCATCACCACGGGCCCCTCCACGCCCTCCTCCAACACCGCCTCGTCCCCTCCACAACGGCCCCCTCCTCTACGCTCTCAGCCTTTCCTGGCCCCGCCTCCTACCTCTTCGAGCTCTCACGGTGCCTTAACTCAGCAGCTCCGAAGAACCAATCAGCCGTGACGAACGGCGTGAGAAAAATATAAATTCTGACCTCGTTTTTACCGCCACTGTTTTTTATGCTCTTTTCTATGCGTGTCATGTTTGTACGAGAATAAAAGGACGTGTAATTGGTCAATATTTGACTGCACCTCGGACTCCAAGGAACTATTTTTACACTTTTTCAGGAAGTAACGGTGAGGGGGCGGGGCTTAGTTTGTTTAACATGCTTTTTTTACCTGGTAGTTTTGAGTGTAAACAGATTTCCTGTTTCCTCCTCTTTGTCAATAAACCTTCACTCAGCTCTCACCTGAAGTTTCAGAGCTCTCTGTGTGCAGCGTCCGACAGGCTCTGACTCTGGGGTCAAAGATCATCATCGAAACATCACGCCCCATTGTTTTTTATCTCGTTTACTGTTTGCAGCAGATTATCCGAGTCCCTATGGAATCAGAGTCAGGAATATTTTGAAAGAATCAAGCCTAGATAATGTCCGACATTGACGTCATGAATTATAAAGAAAACGAGCTTCATCTCTGAGACTAAACAAGAAAAATAAAGGTGCAGACATACACGGTACTTTACTACACGCAGGCTTTTTCTTTGTTGCTTCCAGAGTTTCAGTGTTTTATGTGTAGACGAAGGAAAAAGAAAACTTGGCCTCTGTGCCGTGTTTTTGGATCAAGCTGAATTATTTGTTGGATATGGTTATGTCACCACCTACTGCTCTGTCCAGCTCCACAGACCTTGAGGTTATTTTTTTGTTTTGGTTTTATGAGGACAAAAACATTTTCCAAAACTAATTTGGGAAAAATAATAAACTCGTGTACATGTGGTCATAGCCTTGATTCCACTGACGTTAATGTCTTGGAAAGATTTAGGAAAAAGGTTTTGAGAAACACTCAGCAAAAGAAAATATACTTGGAAAATCCAACATTTAAATACAGAAATTTATCACAAAAAAGGGCGACTCTCTCAGGAAGTAACGGTGAGGGGGCCCCAATAATCTGTGCCACATTTTAACAGTGGCTGTTAAAGTGTGGCAGGTGACAAAAAAGGTAGATTAAAGTCATCAAAAGTTAAAACCTTGGATAATGTGTAGAGATGATCCAAGTTTTCCTTGTAAAATTATAATCTGTACAGAAACTCAAATTTAAAGAGCTCTGCTGTGTTCTGAGATTAAAGTCATTAAAACATTAACATATCTGTAACTGCGTTCACAGGAAGGTAAAAAAGGTCCTGAATGTTCTTTAGAAGTGTGGCCCCTCTCCGTGAGGTTGTAAGGAAAAACATGGACCCTTCCTGAAGGTAAGATTCCTGAAAATCCGTGTTTGGTTAGAGGTGGGCAGCATATCGATACCAACACTGGTGCCAGTATCGGATCCATGCTTTGTTTCTCAAAGTCCAGTATGTATCCCACCGCCCACCCATACCTACATTGTCTTCTGCAGGTCATGGTCATGGGGGTGGGGCGTGAACCAATCACTTACATTCACACCTACATGCATTTAGAATCACCAATTAACCCAACCACACTGTATTCCACTGAGCTGTGTTAAATTAATGTTTTAATCTTTTTATGAAAGAATAAACGTCAGTCGTTTACAGTCTTTAGCACATTTAAACAACAGACGCTGGCCTTTAAAAACGGGCACATTTACACCGCAGCTCTACAAAACACACAGCATCAATATGTAAGAAAACTGTTAACTAATCATCATAAGTAGTAAAAATCACAATGCTGTCGTTGTTTAGTGTTAATTAAAATGTGTTCAGAATTTGGCAAATGTAAAAGAAAAAAAAAGCTCATAAATAATGACACACTGCTCTCCCCTACATCAGCTGGTTAAAAGTATTAGAACCAGAAATACTGCTCTTAGTTTGCTTGGTATTGGATCAATACCAATGTTTGCAGTGTTGCACAGCACTTCCAGATTCAAAAGCTCAACCAGGAGTCCAGTCATGAATACCTGAACCTGCTGGACTGAAACCAACCATGATAAACTTGTTTATTACATTTCCTCCAAACTCAGAGCCGCTGCTGGACCATTACATGAACATCACTCACCAAATATTTCAGAGGTTTGAGTTTCTGCCGTTTTAGGTGCAGTTGTGCTCTGGAAGGTGCCCAGTGCTCTCTGAGCAGGTAAGAGTTTCCTGTGTCACCCTGTTCCGACAAAGACCCGGCAGAGGAGCTCGAAGGAAAGACCTTGACTCTAATCTGGGCCTGAACACTGAACACAATTCACACAGCTGAAGGTACATCAGCCGCATCATGCTGCTTCATGCTGCTTCATGCTGTCAGGTAAAAACCCTGTGATCATGGACAGGAAACCCCATATTAGCTACACTTGACAACAACGGGGAGGAAGAGGTTGATTTAAACAGCAAGAGGCCTCCACCCGAAGCACAATCATGGAGAGTTGAGGGGGTAAGGTCTTGAGGCCTTAATGTAAGTTAATGAAGCTCTTCCATCACCTGACCTCTGGAGGGCGCCGTAGATCATGGAGAACAAAGATGTGCAGACGTCCTGGTGAGAGATCAAAGACGTCCTGATAGCAGTAAACCTGATTCTGCTAGACTGAAACTGACTTTCACTTTTTCTTTCAAGGAAAAGACCATCTCTGAACCGAGAAGGGGGCCTAAGGGTTCATTTTTCTTACAATGCTGTGATTGCAGCCAACTCTCTGTGAATGTACTCATGACCAATGATCAATGGTGTGAGTACAAAAAAAATCATTATTACAATATAATGTTTTAAATTTGCTTAGATCAGAGGAATAGGGAAGGATTTGTCCGTGTTTCAGTTTGGCTTAGCTTTAGGCCTGAGAGTGTGTGTAATTGTTTAGAGGGAAATAAATTTATTAACACTGGAGGTCTGCTGTCATAAAAGGAGACAGGAAGCTACAGTTGGGGGTTGCTGATGCTGATGCTTGTACCTTTAATAAAAACTCATAATTGTTATAATTTAGAAGTAGGTTTGCAGGAGACTCTCCACATGATCTGTAAATGTAAGACAACAAGAGGCCACTGGCCCAGTGGATGCAGAGTGGGGGTCTCAGTGTTTGAAATATGTTAACTCTGTTTTCTATGTTGTGTAGAGGAATTTGGTGTAGCTTGGGTGAGATTACTTTTATGACCGGCAGGATGTCATGTACACAGAGACACACACACACAGTGCTTAAACTGTTACACTCACACATACACACAGGTACGCGCACACATTCACTTACGTGTACTTACATAGACATAGGGTTAGGGTTAGGGTGAGTGCACACACAGGCACTCACGTGCTCATGCATACGCACACAAACACAGAGTTTGCAACACACCATGGGGTCGCTTCTATAAAGCTGACTGTAACAAACAAAGGAGTGGAAGATCTGCAGAGGGACACCAGCCTTGCACGTCTCCCCTTCTAGAAGATGCTTAAATGAAGATGAATGAAGATGAATAAAGGTTTTGTGAAAATGACTACTGAGTCCGGTGCTGTCTCTGGATGCCTCGAGGAATAAAAAAGAATTGATTTTGTAACAATGGTCATGACAATTTGCATATGAATGATCATAAATTGACCTCATATTGTTAGTGTGCTAGTTTCAGTCATTATGCAGATGTCCTGTTTATAAGGTTGGAAATCTGCAGTTAGCTGAGACTGAAGAAGTCACCTGGATAATGATGAAACATTTCTCCCACTGATATGGCATGTAGATTCAAGATTAAAGTCTTTATTGTCAGTACAACAATATACACAATATACAGCATACCAAAATGCCGTTTCACCCCAAGCCCCCTCGTTCATTATAATTATATAAGAAGTATATCTCGAAGAGATATAAAACCAGAAATTACAAATAAAAATAATTTTATTTTGAGGTAAAATTAGGAGCTAAAAAGGTACTATTACGAACTATATCTATGAACAATACACAAAGACTGGACAGAGACAATACAAAGTTATGTTCAGGATATTGTAGACAAAACAGGACGAAGACACGTGCAAGATGCAAAAAGTGCAAAAAAGCATGTTGTTCCCAGTTCCAGTTTGTAGTAGATTTGTGGAAGTTTGTGTTGTTTTTGAGTCTTTTGTTGAGTATTGTATCAAGAAATAACCCCAGATACTTTCTAAGATTAAAGATTTCATAAAAAATTTTTTTTAAGTAAATAAAAGTAAAAATCACTTAAAAAACCTGACTGTGTCCCAGTGATTTATGGCAGTTTATGCACATTTCCAAAAAGAATAAACTGTCAGTTCAGTGTAAGAATACAGAAAAATTGCTGTTTTTTAATTTTTTGTCTTAGATGATAAAACTGTTAAAAATTAAACCATTGTTTATCAGTCAGTGATTAAAAAAAAAACCCTTAAAATTTGGATTAAAGTTTATATTAAAGTTTAATTTAAAGTTTATAATATCATAAATCTCTGGGGAGAGATGATAAATTGTACTGAGATTTTCATTTCTGCTAATCTCAGATTACAGTGAAACACATCTAATCTGCTATTCTCATCTCACACATCAAAGGCACTCAGCTCACGCCTTTCATGTGTGAGCTGAGCTGCTCACAGGCCGAAGGACACATCTTGACCTTTGACCTGCAGTTGTTGCTGATTCCTAGCAGTGTGCTGGGCCACGTCACTGCTGTCAAACTGCTGGATTTATGGTCTGCAGGTGAGTGTTGACTCATTGTGAAACTCAAACAGCTGAGGGCATCGTGACCAGTGTTACCTGCAGGAAAGGAAAAAACATAGTTGTGCAACACCTGTCCAGGGCAGTCCACCACACTGTCAGGTGTGCCAGAAGGCGGGGTTGAACCTTCACATCTGCTGCAGGTGGAGAGCTAACAGATGCGTGATGGATGCCAGAGCAGGGAGTAACCGGGCTGTGGTAGTGTCCGTGGCCCAGTTTGACCCCGGCGTGAGTCTGGGGGACAGGGCCGGAGCCCAGAAAGACGCCAAGAGGCTTCACGGCACCCTCAGCAGGCGAGGCTTCGAGGTGGAGCTGCACAGCGACCTGAGCGGTGACGAAATCTACGAGCTGTTTGTGCAAGGTAACATTTCCATGGAAGCATCATGTGTGGTTTGAAGGATAAATCACCTGCAGCGGGCATGGGCTCATGTGCAGGTGGGCGTGAACATGTCCAGCCTCACTCATCTCACAGGTAACCAGGTGCTGCTGATCAGCAGGTGAGACCGCCTGTGTAAATGCAGAGCTCTGAGCAGGTCTGCAGCTTCCACACGTACAAACTTCCCAGCAAAGTCATCTCAGTCAGATGCTTATTGTCCCTGCATGCCATCAGGTCAAAGGTTAAAGTTCACGGCAGCAGCGGTCTAAAGGAAAAAGCCTCTTTTCTCTGTGACAGCGCAGCTTAGGTGTGCAAACCTGCATCTGACTCTGGAACAGCGAGCTCTGGACATTTATGTATTGCTCTATGGATTTATTGACTTTCAGCCCTGAGCACCATGAGACGAGTGCCGATTAGCTCTAATACATTAAAGAAAGAAGAAGAATATACTGATGGATGCTTCCATGTTGTATATTATTTCTATTATTACATATTAAAGACCCAAACAGCTGCAGGCCGGAGGGCAAATTGAATCATAGCGTGATGAGGTGAAAGATCAGCTGACTGTAGAGTGTCTGTGAGCAGCTCACTGTGCCATTCAGCAGCTCCAGGCTAGAACCTGCTTCTCACAGGACAGGCGAGGTGCGTCATTTATTCGCTCCAACATCAAAACAAAAGTTCATCGTAAGTTTATCTTATCTGAACGATCACATGACTGACTACTGGTCACGTAGCCCAGGTGTGTTGGCTCATTTAACAATTTCCCATGTGGGATCAATAAAGTATCTAATCACTGATCTTATAGTAGCACCAGCTCTGTATTTGGTGCTGTATTTTTATAATCTTCAGAGCTCTTTCACCACTGATAATGTTTGCTTTGCGCAGAGTCACATCATGCATGCCTTAACCAGTAACCACCATCGTGATGCCGGTCAACTCAGACTGGATTTAATCCAGCTAAAACAGAGAAAGCCTGGCTATGCTGGGCTGCTTTTGCACTTCAGTTAGCTGAGGTGAAGCTAGCAGATAGCTAGCAGCAACAGCCACCTGTGTCACCATCCACCTGTTTGTCAAAGAGGCCACGGCCCTAATAATGCACACTTTAAGCCTTAATCCAGTTTAAACAGGTATGGGTTAAGAAATTATGCAGAGAGACCAAACAGTTTGTGTATCAGACTGTAAAGATGTTTACTAGTTTTAACATGGAAGAACATGGGGACAGACTCCCTGCTGCCTCTGCTGGATGTCAGAGGAACTGCAGTGTAACACCTATTTAATTACTAACAACTTATTAGATGGTAATAAAAAATAAAGACAGGCTGGCTTTTGCTTCAGTGTTCCTGTTTTTCATGAGTAACCACTCTGCAGACGAGGCGCATGTGCATTGAGCACGTGCATACCTGCTGCCATGTACAGTGGGGCAAAAAAGTATTTAGTCAGCCACCGATTGTGCAAGTTCCCCCACTTAAAATGATGACAGAGGTCAGTAATTTGCACCAGAGGTACACTTCAACTGTGAGAGACAGAATGTGAAAAAAAATCCATGAATCCACATGGTAGGATTTGTAAAGAATTTATTCGTAAATCAGGGTGGAAAATAAGTATTTGGTCACCTCAAACATGGAAAATCTCTGGCTCTCACAGACCTGTAACGTCTTCTGTAAGAAGCTTTTCTGTCCCCCACTCGTTACCTGTATGAATGGCACCTGTTTGAACTCATCATCTGTATAAAAGACACCTGTCCACAGCCTCAAACAGTCAGACTCCAAACTCCGCCATGGCCAAGACCAAAGAGCTTTCGAAGGACACCAGGAAAAGTATTGTAGACCTGCACCAGACTGGGAAGAGTGAATCTACAATAGGCAAGCAGCTTGGTGTGAAAAAATCAACTGTGGGAGCAATCATCAGAAAATGGAAGACATACAAGACCACTGATAATCTCCCTCGATCTGGGGCTCCACGCAAGATCTCATCCCGTGGGGTCAAAATGATCATGAGAACGGTGAGCAAAGATCCCAGAACCACACGGGGGGACCTGGTGAATGACCTGCAGAGAGCTGGGACCAAAGTAACAAAGGTCACCATCAGTAACACACTACAACGGCAGGGAATCAAATCCCGCAGTGCCAGACGTGTTCCGCTGCTGAAGCCAGTGCATGTCCAGGCCCGTCTGAAGTTTGCCAGAGAGCACATGGATGATACAGCAGAGGATTGGGAGAATGTCATGTGGTCAGATGAAACCAAAGTAGAACTTTTTGGTATAAACTCAACTCGTCGTGTTTGGAGGAAGAAGAATACTGAGTTGCATCCCAAGAACACCATACCTACTGTGAAGCATGGGGGTGGAAACATCATGCTATGGGGCTGTTTTTCTGCCAAGGGGACAGGACGACTGATCCGTGTTAAGGACAGAATGAATGGGGCCATGTATCGTGAGATTTTGAGCCAAAACCTCCTTCCATCAGTGAGAACTTTGAAGATGAAACGAGGCTGGGTCTTCCAACATGACAATGATCCAAAACACACCGCCCGGGCAACAAAGGAGTGGCTCCGTAAGAAGCATTTGAAAGTCCTGGAGTGGCCTAGCCAGTCTCCAGACCTCAACCCCATAGAAAATCTGTGGCGGGAGTTGAAAGTCCGTGTTGCTCGGCGACAGCCCCAAAACATCACTGCTCTCGAGAAGATCTGCATGGAGGAATGGGTCAAAATACCAGCTACTGTGTGTGCAAACCTGGTAAAGACCTATAGTAAACGTTTGACCTCTGTTATTGCCAACAAAGGTTATGTTACAAAGTATTGAGTTGTATTTTTGTTATTGACCAAATACTTATTTTCCACCCTGATTTACGAATAAATTCTTTACAAATCCTACCATGTGGATTCATGGATTTTTTTTTCACATTCTGTCTCTCACAGTTGAAGTGTACCTCTGGTGCAAATTACTGACCTCTGTCATCATTTTAGGTGGGGGAACTTGCACAATCGGTGGCTGACTAAATACTTTTTGCCCCACTGTATCCAGTGTTATGGCTGCTGTGAGAATGCTGACTGAGGGTCACTGACGGCCAAAGTTGGTCAAGTTACTTGAAAAAAGTAATCAGTAACTAATTACTGGTTACTTCCCGAAAAAAGTAATCCAGTTACTTTACTGATTACTTATTTTCAAAAGTAATTAGTTACTTAGTTACTTTTTAAAACATGATTTATCCCCTAAATAGGTGATAAAGCGATAGATCTTTCAGCCCATTTCTACTTTTTCTGCATAATCCATCATACAAAATGTAATCAAATGAAAAAGTCTCTTTTTAATACTTGTTTTATCAGTTTTAATCTTAACTTTATGCATCAAGCAAACATTAAATTATATGCAACATTCTCTGACTGGAAGAAATTTGTTTAACATTTAAACCTATTGTCTGCACATTCCAGCACATAAAATAAAATATTTTTTGTGTTTACACTCTCTCTTTCAAATAGATGCAAGTAAAACACAGAAGAAAATAAATAAAATCAAAGTCTCAGTGGTCCTGTTGCTCTATTTTAACCTATATAGCAGAAGTGGGGCAGGCGGAGGTTTGCCCTGGTGCAGGTGTGCCGCAGCCATCATGTCAGTGGAAGGATCTGGGAGTTTCTCTGTGAATTTCAGATTCCAGCAGCAGCGTATTTGGTGCTTGCTCGGACATTTAGGGGTTTTTTCGCTGTAAAAAGAACTTTTCTTCCCACACACAACAGACGCTAATGTTTTTGTCACTTATTACGGAATCAAACTCAAAGTAAGGTCAGTACTTCCACGCTTTAAACGCTGCACGCTCATACTCTCTCCTGCACTCGTTATATTATCCATTGTTGATCTGCACACAGCTGTTGCCACGAACGTCGCACTTACGTCATTGTCATGAGACACTCTCGCAAATAAATCACGGTTTTGTTAACGCAGTAATGCAGCGTACTTATGGGAAAGTAACAGTAATCTAATTATCTTTTTTGCAATAGTAATCCCTTACTTTACTCGTTACTCGAAAAAGTAATCGGATTACAGTAACGAGTTACTGCCCATCTCTGCTGACGGCACAACTGTTTGTGTCTGTTCTGCAGAGAGCAGGCGGCCCGTGAAGGACTGCTTCCTGGCTGTCTTGTCGTCTCACGGGGAGGAGGACTGCGTATTCGGAGCCGACGGCAAACCCGTCCGGCTGTCTCGGATCTTCGCATATTTTGACAACGAGTGCATGGAGAATAAGGCCAAAGTGTTCCTCATACAGGTAGGTGGCAGAAGGGCGAGGACACCATGAGTTTAGGTCGTGTCGAGGGAATCAAATGATCTGTTTTCTTCTGTGATGCTGAGGTCATCCTCTTGATGCTGTCTCTGCAGGCGTGTCGCGGAGACGCTCTGGATGATGGAGTGGAGGTGGACTCGGCCGGTGACGCCACCGACTGCAGCTTCTCCCTCCACCTCTCAGTTCCTGTAGATACAGCTGTGATGTATGCCACGCCCCCAGGTAAACACCAAGCCTTCAACAGACCACCACCACTACCCTCTAAACCTCCTCAGCGGCCACTCAGACCTCCTAAACTACCCTTCAAACCTCCTGACAGGCAGCATAACCATTTTATCCATCCCTAGAACCTCCACAGTTACTGTGAAACATAGAAATTAAACCATCTTTATGACAACTGCAACACTTGCAATATGATCACATCTCTTCAGGGACTTTTAAGACCTACCAAAGGACTTCTAAACCTCCTTAGTAACCAGAGAAATCTTCTATACTACCCATCAGGGGCGATTTTAGCCCCCCAAAGATTTTAGATGTCACAAATCAAAGCACCCCCAAAGATTTCTTACTTTTTTTGACAATATTTGCTGTTTGTGTGACACACTGCTAAAAATATAAAAAGCATACAGTACGTAATTGAGATGGAACATTTTAACAACAAAAGTATGTATAAACCCCCCCCCCCCCCCCCCCCCCCCCAAAATGGTTTGTTCCAGCTCTCCCCTGTTCTGGCTCTAGCGCCGTTGCTGCCAGAGCGATGGTGGCTGAGACGCAGCGGAGCAGAGGTGTGAGTGCCTGGCTTAAAACAGGACATATTAGCTGCATTTAACCTTCTGTTACTCTTTATATAGTTGGTAGGAGTCAGACCATGTTTCTTTTTACTGAAAAACATTACACCAGGTAACCAGGGTGTAAAAAAACTTGTTTTCCAGCAATGTTTGCTACCCTACAATTTGTCCTACACTGCAGTAAAATCAGTGACATTTGAAAACCTAAAACTTAAAATTGTCCGTAGCCTGCTGTTGTTACCACTGTCCTGTTTTAAATCGATACTAACTAGCTAACTGACCGAATGGCCATTAACCTTAGAACTCCTGTTGTGTGTGTGTGTATGTGTGTGTGTGCGTGCGTGTGTGTTTTGGGACCACCCTGGGGCGCACACATGTCAGTGCGCCCCAGGGTGGCTGTGGCTACAATGTAGCTTGCCAGCACCAGTGTGTGAATGTGTGGATGACTGGATGCGTAAAGCGCTTTGGGGTCCTTAGGGACTAGTAAAGCGCTATACAAATACAGGCCATTTACCATTTTTTTTGTACAGAGAGACAGCCAGGTTCATAATGGATATAAGGAAGTTGTTTTTTTTTTTTTTTTTTTTTAAAGGAGCCACATTCAGGTAAAAGTGTAAAATCAAACGATCCGTCAATCAAGAATAATGTTGGATCAGTGTTTCAATATTTATATCTTTTATTAGATATTCATGTGGTTTGGTTATTTTCCTTTTGGTTGAAAGTAGACTGAGAGAGGACTTTGTGTTAGCGATTTTAATAGTATTTTTTCATATTAATGTAATTTATCATCTAATTGAATACAATCTATTTGTGTATGATTGTCAGTCCAAAGAGGGAGAGAGGAAAGAGGAGAACGTGAGGAGAAAGTACAAGGTCAGGAAGAACCAGGTAAGAAAACAGACAGGGAACAGTGACAGGCAAAACAGAAACTGTTAAACTGACAAAGAGAAAAAACCTGATTTTACTCAAACAATCTGGAAGTTGTGTCCTCCCTATATTAAAGCTGCTGTACAGAATCTGCAAAACAAACTGGGTTGAAACATTTGACCCTCTTTAACAACATTCCAATATAACATTATCATTGATTGGGGAGATTAAAATTAATAATATATTTTTATGTGGTTCAACCACAACTCTACTAAAACCTCAGCCAGTAATAGGTAGGCCAACTTTTGGACTGTCCAGTTGTCTGTATGACTGCTGCAGTACGTGCGCCACATTTGCGCACTATCAGAAAGAGCCAAACGGCCCTGGTGGAGTGAGGAGCTGTAAAGAGAAGTGCTCTGTTTCTAAAAATGTTAAACTTTTTACAGTGTGTACCACCTGAAAGTACCACTATGAAAGCATGAAACCCATAAATCTTACAACACAAAATTTGTATTATTAAATTAGATTTTTATTTGTAATAATTTATTCTGTTTTGGGAGTGTTTTCTTTATGTATATGTATTATATTATACATACACCTTAAAAGTGAATCTCTGTCCAAACAATGCACTCAGTTTACTTTTTACTCACTATGAGCATCACTCATTATTCTCCCCCAGTAATGAAGGTTAGGATATGTTTTCTTTTTTATTCCAATCCATTCTTCTTTTGCAGCATTTAAATAACCTTGATCAGATTTGATGGTTTTGTTACAGACTTTTCAGAAAAGTTTTTTGCTTTTCTTTCACAAATATGGGGATTAAATTGTGTTAAAATGTACAAAACAGTGATGTCATGTTTTGAGACGAGGACCCAGGGACAGAGAGACTTGATGAATTTAAGAATCTTATGATTTATCTTGCCTGGCTGGGCAGCTCTCTGGGTGCTCAGCACCTCCAAAGCTCTAATCCTAGAATCGCCCCTGCTACCCATTAACCTCCTCTATGACTACTGAAATCATTTTAACTGTTCATGGAATCTCCTCACCTGCCACAAAAGTGCCCAACTACCTGTAGACTCTCCCCAATTACTGCAGACCTCTATCTTCTAAAGAATCTGTTGAACCTTTTTTGTGATCATAAAACTTCCCCAGTGACTGCTACAGCATCCTAAAGACCCCTCAAACATTTTATTGACAACTGAAACCTCGTGAACTACGCTTAGAGGCTCCACAATGACTACAAAGCCCTTGAACCTCTGTAATGACCACTGCACATTCTTAACTGAATCTAGGTGACCTTCTTCATCCTAAATATTAAGTTCACTTTTCAAACAGCTGTTTAAATCTCTCTGGCCATAACCAGCCTACCAGAGAACCTTGAACCTTCTCACTGACCAGTCTAATCTCCTCAAGGCTCCCTTTCTCCAGGATCCCTTAAACTTAAAATACCAGTGCAACTTCCTCAGTGAGTCCTACAACTTTGTGAGGACCTCTAGAACCTTTTCCTGACAACTCAAGTAGTGTTTTAGTAGTGTTGTCCAAATCCTACAGAACCCTCTCTGAAAACTCTAACACCTTTGAAGAGACCACAGAACCTCTTCATTTTTGACACCTGGTGGTGACATTTGTCTGAATCAATAATCTGCAGATTTTTCACCACGGTCCACAGACCAGTATCTCTGTTTACCTCCTCCTCTCTCCATCAGGTTACGGAGCCTTCATGAGCCCGCTTGGATCCGTCTTCCTTCAGACGTTCTGCACTTTGTTGGAGGACGAGGCCCATCAGAACCTGGAGCTGACTCGCCTGATGACCCGCCTCTCCCACAGGGTGGCCTACACCTTCCAGGCCAAAGGTCGTGAGCTGGGCGGGAAGAAAGAGATGCCGTGCTTCCTGACACGACTGACCAGAGAGGTGTTCCTGTCCTCAGAGTCAGAGAGAGAAGATCTCTGATCCTGGGAAAGGTTTTCCTAAAGTTCTTGAAGATGTTGTGTCACCATTTTTTGAGAAGTTTCACAAACTTCAGCTGTTCATTGATCCACTTTAATGCGACTGCAATAAACTGGAGCTTATTTTCTCATTTATGAAGGTTATTTCTTCACTTATTCACTCATTATCCACGTAGTCACACATTTTTATATCTGCATTTATTTTTCCTTTGATAAATACATCTGAATATGAACAAATAACTGAGTATCAGAAATTAACAGCAGGTAGTTTTTAATAATAAAAAACAGTAATTTGGAGTAGGTGCAGAAATCTTTTATAGTGCTTAAAAATTTCTACTCCTGTATTGAGACATTACAAATAAATCTTGAATTGTTGGTTGAAGAAAAAGATTATTCCTAAACTAAAGTGTCAGTCTGAAGAACACCGTCACATGTTTAACAATAAAATGTAAGATTTACTGCATATGTGAGTCTAACAGGTCGGTATAAACAGTAATTTAAAAGTTTTAACCTCTTCATCAGCAGTGTGAAGGTACAGCTGTGGATGAGTCACATGTTTAAGCATTTAAACCAGAAACCAGGTGAGGGTTTGAACTTTACATCTGTTAACAGGTGACCAATCAACCTGCAGGGTCAGGCTGGATTTACATTTCACATATTTTGTCCTCTTACAGGAGTTGTGAGAATCTTAGGTGGAGATGTTTCTGAGTCATCTCCTTGAGTCAGCAGGTGTGTGTTCATACAGAGACACGTGTGGGATCACATAAAGTCAGTCTGTCTGGGTTTGAGTACTTCCTGTCTGGACGTGAACCAGAACTTACAGAGTCCACACCTGTTATCACTGAATATGTAATAAAGCAGATCATGTGACGTGGAATGAGCAGTCAGCAGGTCGGGAAGTTTACGCTCACAGAGGTGTGGGAGCGGTTTTGTCCTGAGGCCTTCCTTCATCTACTTTCAGTTTAGTACCTGCAACACATTTATGATTCATGTCTGACACACAGCACGACATTTCCCAGAACTCAGCTGTTTCACTTCCCCACAACTGCTCCATCACATCACTACACCCTCTTCATTCATAGCTTAGACACGTTACATGGATATTCAGTGGTGCTCTAGAAGCAAAATAGTTCCAGTGTTACATTCACAAAGGTAAAAAAAAGAAGCTCCTGTCACAAACTGAGTTTATTCTGACCACATGATTAAAATCTGAAGGCGTGAAACAAACATCATCATCCTCGTTCTCTAACGTCACAAGCTTGGAAAGACAGAGCAAGTTCACAGACCTCTCCACAAAATCATCCGCAGGTCAGTGCAGAGCTACAGACGGCAGATCAAACTCTCATGCTTTTCAGCTCTCCTGACCTGTTTCTGCTTCACAGAGTCCAGATGTTTTCAGATGTCAGAAAGAGCTTCCCTGACCTGCAGATATATTCAGCATTAATGAGCCTCGCAGAAGTTACCCCTGCATCTCACCAACCGCTCTGTAAAAAAGAACGTGCAGGGTTTCCAGCTCAGGCTCCAGTGTGTTTACGATGTCTGCATCGTCCTATAAACACGTTTACCTGGTCAGGCATGATGATTTACGCCTGTTACTGACAGATGTTCAGGAAATAGACCAAGCAGACCCGTGACTGTATCAAACATTGTGTATTTGCAGATAAATAATAAAGTGCATACATACATATGTACAGGACATGCTAAACATTTTCTTCACACAGTTTTAGAACGACACCACACAAAAACAAGATCATTTCCATTCCTCCATGTGCTCTGCCGTGATTTGGTCTAACTGATGGAAGGTGTCCGTGTTCTGGTGCTCTCAGTACCAACCAGTAATGTGGCTGAGATTCCCTCTGCTTTTCCGGCTCTCTCTGACTCTGAGGACAGGAACACCTCTCTGGTCAGTCGTGTCAGGAAGCACGGCATCTCTTTCTTCCCGCCCAGCTCACGACCTTTGGCCTGGAAGGTGTAGGCCACCCTGTGGGAGAGGCGGGGCATCAGGCGAGTCAGCTCCAGGTTCTGATGGGCCTCGTCCTCCAACAAAGTGCAGAACGTCTGAAGGAAGACGGATCCAAGCGGGCTCATGAAGGCTCCGTAACCTGATGGAGAGAGGAGGAGGTAAACAGAGAAATCTGACATGGTTAAACACGTACAACCTCTGAAGAATTCTGAGAGCTCCTGAGGACATAACTGAGAAAGAAAATCACGATTTATTAGTATCCGGAGTCGGACTTGTGTTGTTGTATCAACCATCATATAAAGGTTTCTGCCAACCAAAAAAGCTCTGAGGTTTTTTTTTTTATGTGTTTGTGCGTCATGAAGGAGGTTCTCCAGGATCAGCTGGAAAGGTATGCGGGCCTCAGAGGAAGTTAGAGGTCTGCAGTAATTGGGGAGAGTCTACAGGTAGTTGGGCACTTTTGTGGCAGGTGAGGAGATTCCATGAACAGTTAAAATGATTTCAGTAGTCATAGAGGAGGTTAATGGGTAGTATAGAAGATTTCTCTGGTTACTAAGGAGGTTTAGAAGTCCTTTGGTAGGTCTTAAAAGTCCCTGAAGAGATGTGATCATATTGCAAGTGTTGCAGTTGTCATAAAGATGGTTTAATTTCTATGTTTCACAGTAACTGTGGAGGTTCTAGGGATGGATAAAATGGTTATGCTGCCTGTCAGGAGGTTTGAAGGGTAGTTTAGGAGGTCTGAGTGGCCGCTGAGGAGGTTTAGAGGGTAGTGGTGGTGGTCTGTTGAAGGCTTGGTGTTTACCTGGGGGCGTGGCATACATCACAGCTGTATCTACAGGAACTGAGAGGTGGAGGGAGAAGCTGCAGTCGGTGGCGTCACCGGCCGAGTCCACCTCCACTCCATCATCCAGAGCGTCTCCGCGACACGCCTGCAGAGACAGCATCAAGAGGATGACCTCAGCATCACAGAAGAAAACAGATCATTTGATTCCCTCGACACGACCTAAACTCATGTTGTCCTCGCCCTTCTGCCACCTACCTGTATGAGGAACACTTTGGCCTTATTCTCCATGCACTCGTTGTCAAAATATGCGAAGATCCGAGACAGCCGGACGGGTTTGCCGTCGGCTCCGAACACGCAGTCCTCCTCCCCGTGAGACGACAAGACAGCCAGGAAGCAGTCCTTCACGGGCCGCCTGCTCTCTGCAGAACAGACACAAACAGACAGTAGTGCTGTCAGTGACCCTCAGTCAGCATTCTCACAGCAGCCATACCACTGGATACATGGCAGCAGGTATGCCAGCCTGTGTTTACGTTCACATGCAGAAGATTCAAACTAATGAAACTTTATGACCTATGTTTGATCTATGAGTGGAAATCAGTTGTAACAGTGTTTAATCACCATCACTGTAAAACACACTCATATAATCACATCCTCACATGTTATATAATTACAAATGTATCAGTCAGCGCTGGCATGTCACCAATGAGTGTCAGGGCAGTGTAAGCCTCACCTTTACCTGTAAATAGAACAGAGGTGTGTCTGTGTGTGTGGACACACACACAGAGACTGTAATATTAAAGCTGCGTGTCTGTCAGGGAGATGGAGCTGCAAATGTTTCCTTATCTGGGCTCACAGACGCAGGCCCTGCTGTGGGCACTGATGCCCCGCCCCCTCTGAGTTTCTGTGACATCAGCTGTTTTTTTAAATGAATGAGTTCTTGGCTGAAAGCTCTCTCAATTTAAATATTTTGTCTCTGTGCTGTGTTTAAATAAAGTTAGAATGTTTTGCGTCCTGTTTTTATTGTTGGAAGTGGGCTTTTCGGGGTGATGCGATTGGTTACCTTTCTCAAACAGCTCGTAGATTTCGGCGCCGCTCAGGTCGCTGTGCAACTCCACCTTAAAGCCCCGCCTGCTGAGGGTACTGTGGAGCCTCTTGGCATCCCTCTTGGCTCCGGCCCTGTTCCCCATCTTCACCCCGGGGTAAAACTCGGCCACGGACACCACCACTGCCCGGTTCACCTCAGCCTTCCCACCCACTGGTCGTCTCTGCTGGGACATGGTGATGTAGCTGAGGTCCGCTGAGCTCTGTCTCTGTGAGTGTCTGTCAGATTTAAGCTCCTGGCTCTGCACTGAAAGTATTTTAAGAGCCCCTGAGCTGTAAAGGTGTGACCACACCTCTTTACCTTACCTGGAACTTCCTCTGCTGCCTTATCAGCCTTATGTGCTCAAGTCTTACACAACTTCATGTTTTTTCTCGCTGTGCCAGATATCCAGGTGTGTTCCACTCACGGATGACATGTCATCATTTCACGGCACACAAACATTTTCCTGCAGTAACAGAAAACAATCGAGGAGTTTTTAAAGCCTTTTATGATTTTTGATTTTAATAAAAACACTTTACTAAAAATGTGAAGTTTGTGTTTGTCATCTTTACAAATAAAGTTTGTTTCACTCCAAGCAAGACTTTTGCCACCCCTGTGAGTAAAAACCTAAATAAAAGTGAGTGTTTCCACTTTATTCTGCCTTATTCTACTTCACTGGCTGTGGGGTTTGTTTGGTCGTCTGAATCTTTCAGTGATCCTGAAAACTCCAGACAGATGGTTTAAAATCAGGTTCCTGTAGTGGCTATATTAAGTTCTCTCTTTCTCTTATATTTAAAATAACCACACTACGCAACTGTTTTTACGCGTTGTCGTTAGCAACAATGATGGTAAACCCACTGTGTGGCTCCGCCTTCCATTTGTTTGTTTTCCACATAAACCTTTCACAATGAAGCTGAAGATCCTGTTGAGATTTATAAAAAATAATAAACTGAAATGATGACAAGCAGAAGGACCATTCAAAACAAATCGAGGACCTTATTTCTAAACGAGGGGCTCCCTCTGTAGCATTGACATGGTTTGGTTATGAAAAGTCTGACACGGACCAGAAAACTGTACTATGCAAATTATGCATGAAACTGGTCCCCACCTCAGACTCAAACACGGCAAACCTCTTCTACCACCTATGTGTCACGGCGAGTGAGATGAGCTGTGTGGGGAAAAATAAAGGAGGATCCAATTGCAGGCACTTGTGAAGATGTGAAGGCGGTTTATTGAAACACAAAGCACAGGGGAAAAAATGGCAAACAGAGATTAAGCTAAACTATACTGGAAAGAACTAATCTACTGAACATGAACACAAACATGGAGGATTGGTAGAGGTAAATGACGATGGACAGCAGGGAGAACACACAGATGAAACACGGTGGATGGCCAGACGGACCAGCAACTATTACAACAGAATACACAACTTAAATACACTCAGAGAAACACAGGGCGATTACACACAGGTGGGGGACACAGCTGGAAGTAATTAACGAGACGAGACAAGGGAGGTAAAACTGAATACACTCACATGAGACGCAGACCTTCACAATAAAACAGGAAACACGAAATCACTACACAAAGACACAGACTCAACACTGAGAGGCAGACAGAAAATAACACATGGAACTCAAACTATACATGAGACAACAAATCCTTGAAAACGAATAAACAGAAAGATAGAATTCTAATAATAATCAACAAAGCACAAGAGTAACAAAACGATCATTCAAAAATAAACCAAAACATGATAAACTCAAAATGCTGGGTCGAACCGACCGAGAACCCTGACACTACGCAAGAATCATGTGAAAGAGTATGGAGAGTTTATGGATGAGAAGCAAAACACAGCCGTCTGGTGCTGAAAATAAACCTTAGACTCAAACGTTACAACAGGCTTTTCCCCGTGCAATAAATAATCACAAAGAAAATTGGAGCCGTTACAACCTATGTCTAAAAATGCATTGTTTCACGCATCGGTCGATACACTCAACTCCGGGTGCATGATGCCCACCTGAAAACACTTCACACAAGTTGAATTGCCCGGGATTCACAGAATTTAAAGAAAATTTTACATTTTTGTCATATATATCATTGTCGGGATGATAAATGTTTTATATCAGGATATGAGATTTTGGTCATAGCCCTAGCGGACATATTATTGGTCAGATGAAGTCATTAAAAATGCTCCAGCAGCACAAACACGGTCAAGAAGTGTCTATGGGTGTCTGACGGGACTGACTGACTGCTGACTATCTGAGCTTCATGTTTCAGGCAGCAGATGAACTGAGGGGAAGTTAAAGTGTCCCTACGAGATAACAAGGGGTTTTTGGTTTTATGTTCTGCGTCTTTGTCCTGTCTTCCTCCCCTCACCCCCAGTTACAGCAGAGTCCTCTCTGAGTCTGGTTCTCCCAGAGGTTTATTCCACTTTAAAGGGATTTTTTTCCTTCCCACTGTCACCAAAGTCTTGCTCACAGGGGGTTGTGTGATTGATAGGTTTTCTCTGTATTGTTGTAGGGTCTCTAGCTTACAGTGTAAAGCACCTTGATGTGACTGTTGTTGTCATTTTGCACTATATTAAAACAATGATTTAATTTTTTAAGCTTGTTGAGTTTGCATGTAATGAGACACACTCTATAAATAAAGAACAGACTGACTCATGCAGATGTAATGTGGTGGAGTCTGGACAAGGTTGACTGCTGCAGAGATTGAAGTGAGTGAGGAACGTAGCTGTTTGCGCTGTGCTGTCTGCTGTAGTCACACTCATCTGTCAGCTGCTCGTAAACTTTGATCACAGGTCACACGCCTGACCTATCAGCATCTCATGCCTCAGAGGAAACCTGCTTTTCCTGCCGCACACGGGAACAAGGTGTCCATAAAAAATAACACGTAAACAAATCAAAGCATTCCAGGAATCCTTGAACACGCTCACATATGTGCACGAACACCCGTCTTTATTTCATTTTAATTCATCAGACTTCATCCCAAAGGAAATTCTCGATGAGGTCGGCTACTCCCACACACAACAGAAAAAAACATTAATTCAGTAGAAAAAACAAGAAGTTGATCATTTATAAATACAAAATGTAGTCCTTACAAATAATTAAAAAAATAGACATTTGCATATCCCTCCAAAATATTTAAGTAAAAAATTATTTATTGTTTAATTTCTGTAGATATTCACTCTATGTCTTCTTCTTCCTTCTTTCTCTCTGTATGTCTTTCTTTTAATTCCCGCCTTGATTTCCAAACTGATCCTCTGTGGGAATCTCATCCTCCAACATCCACACATCTAATTTGATTGACCCCTCCATCATGGCCTCTATCTATTTATCTATTCCTCACTATTTAATTAGATCACTCATTCCTAAAGTCAAGAATGCTGCTGTCCCACACATTTATGACCCAATCAAAGATCTTAATTCTGTCACAGTGATTACACATTTTTTATTTAAAATGACATAAAAATCACACGCTGCTGGCGATAAATGATTAATACTACAATGACCTTCAGTTATTACTGCAGCCCACCTGCAGCACCTTTGGTCCACACTCTGGGAATCCTTAGATATTTAAATGTATCAATTTAACCATCTATTTGTTATTCTGGTTTTATTTAAATATTTGGCAAAATAAATCAAACAGAAAGGATTGATGGAGGCAGATGATCCACTGTGGCACCACCTAAAGGAAGCACTTGGAAGAAGAAGAAAAAGATTCATATCTTGATTTGCTTTATTTACATATTTGCAATTATTTGTATTACATTTATAACGTTTTATCATTCATTTATTCAAGTATTTATTTATTTTATAATATTTCTTTATTTACTAATTTATTCAGGTAGTTTTATTGTTTCCATTTTTTATTGATCCTTGAATTCCTTTATTATTTGTTATGCATGTGTTATTATGTTTCACTGCTTTGATGATGTAATTTCTTAATCTGGGATAATCTGGGATTAATCCACTCATTAATTTCATTTAACAGTCTTCAATTATACAAACAAATAATGAACAAAAAAACATAAATAAATATATTAAATTAAATTTTTCTTTTCCAGTCGCTTAACCAGGGGCAATTCTAGGATTAGAGCTTTTCACCCAGAGAGCTGCCCAGCCAGGCAAGATAAATCATAAGATTCTTAAATTCATCAAGTCTCTCTGTCCCTGGGTCCTCGTCTCAAAACATGACATCACTGTTTTGTACATTTTAACACAATTTAATCCCCATATTTGTGAAAGAAAAGCAAAAAACTTTTCTGAAAAGTCTGTAACAAAACCATCAAATCTGATCAAGGTTATTTAAATGCTACAAAAGAAGAATGGATTGGAATAAAAAAGAAAACATATCCTAACCTTAATTACTGGGGGAAAATAATGAGTGATGCTCATAGTGAGTAAAAAGTAAACTGAGTGCATTGTTTGGACAGAGATTCACTTTTAATGTGTATGTATAATATAATACATATACATAAAAAAACACTCCCAAAACAGAATAAATTATTACAAATAAAAATCTAATTTAATAATACAAATTTTGTGTTGTAAGATTTATGGGTTTCATGCTTTCATAGTGGTACTTTCAGGTGGTACACACTGTAAAAAGTTTAACATTTTTAGAAACAGAGCACTTCTCTTTACAGCTCCTCACTCCACCAGGGCCGTTTGGCTCTTTCTGATAGTGCGCAAATGTGGCGCACGTACTGCAGCAGTCATACAGACAACTGGACAGTCCAAAAGTTGGCCTACCTATTACTGGCTGAGGTTTTAGTAGAGTTGTGGTTGAACCACATAAAAATATATTATTAATTTTAATCTCCCCAATCAATGATAATGTTATATTGGAATGTTGTTAAAGAGGGTCAAAAATGTTTCAACCCAGTTTGTTTTGCAGATTCTGTACAGCAGCTTTAATATAGGGAGGACACAACTTCCAGATTGTTTGAGTAAAATCTGGTTTTTTCTCTTTGTCAGTTTAACAGTTTCTGTTTTGCCTGTCACTGTTCCCTGTCTGTTTTCTTACCTGGTTCTTCCTGACCTTGTACTTTCTCCTCACGTTCTCCTCTTTCCTCTCTCCCTCTTTGGACTGACAATCATACACAAATAGATTGTATTCAATTAGATGATAAATTACATTAATATGAAAAAATACTATTAAAATCGCTAACACAAAGTCCTCTCTCAGTCTACTTTCAACCAAAAGGAAAATA